CCTTCTACCTTCGACTCACTTGTATTTGCTTTGTCTCCTCACTTGCTCTACTTGGTGTAAACCCCAGAAATGATTCTCAGTGATAATGCCTTACACTGGGAATTTTTCCTTATAAAAGAAATCATTTATGAAGCAGTGAAAGAACCATCTCAATATGCCAGAGTACAAGAGTCTAGGGAATTGGTCCCATGGAAAATACATTTCGCAAGATGGTTCATTAGTTTCTTGGTCATTTTCATTATCAACAGCACTGTAATCATAACCACTAACATTTTAACTCAACAGAGTTTCTGCTTCCCAAAACAGGCTGAAAGCCACAGAGGCCACACTTGTGAACAGCAAAGATGAGAGGCGATAATGAAAAAAAAGGTGTTCTCCATTGGGTTGGCCCTTTGGTGTCGTCACACTTCTGCCCCAGATAGAGCTGTGGTGATTACGCAAAGACTCACTGGCACATATACATTTTCCTGGAAGGAAAAGGAGAAAGCTTGAAAAACATGAACTGGTGGTGAAAGATGCTCATGAACCAGGTCCCTGCCACAAAGATGCTGGCCAGTCACTACAGTGTTCAGCAAGGAGCTCTAAGGTCAGCTGCCCATCAGATCCCTGGCCCTGCCCAACACTAGCTGTGGAACCACAGATTGCTTAGCCCCTCTGGCCTTCATCTACAGGAACTGGGTAATGACAGTACCTACCTCTGTTATCGTTTAAATATGAAGTACCCACAAAAGACTTGTTTTGAAGGCTTGATCCTCGTTATAGCAATATTCAGAGATGAGGTCTAGAGAGGTGATTGGGTCCTGGACACACTGACTTCATCAATGAATCCATTGATGGCTTAATAGCTTCAGGGGCTCTTAGGAGGTAGAGGACTATGTCACTGGGAGCATGTCCTTGAAGGGTACATCTGGCCCTCGGCCCCTTCCTCTCTGGCTCTTTTACCCTCTCTCTCTTCCCGTCTGCTATGAGGTGAGCGGCTTTCCCACACCACACCTTTTTGCTATGATGTTTTGGCTTCACCATAGGCCTGGACTCAATAGAATCAAGGGACCATGGACTCAAACCACTGGAACTGAGAGCTAAAAATCAACCTTTCCTCCTTTAAATAGTTTTTCTCGGGTATTCGGTGGCAATGATGAAAAGCTGACTAGAACAGATTTGTTGGGTAGAAGGAAGGATTCAACAGGTTAAGTACTTCAAGTGCCCACCTGTGGCAGTCCAGCCAACACAACATGAACATGCCTGAGTTGGGGAGTGAGGATTGAGAAAGGAAAGAACACTCAAGCCTGAGTGGAGACCAAGAGAAGTCTGATTTATTTCACAGAAACAGCTCCTTTTAAAGACTCATCAACAGGAAGCACCTGACTCCTACAGAGAACACCAGCTCTTTAACAGGAAGCACCTGACTCCTACAGATAACACCAGATATTTGGCTATCTTCGAGTTTCTCTCATGTAAGGTCAAAAACAAGTTTAACACGTGCAGTCCTTAAAAAGGAACAAATGTTAACAAATGCTAATTAGGAACATCCTGACCACACATTGTGTCAAGGCCTTGATTATAAAGAAAGAAGTTATCTTTCAAATGTCAAATGCTAGTGGGCCATGACTGGCTCCTACATTTCTCCCTTTTTCATTATATTTAGAGCAGGGACTTTCCCAGATCAGCAGAAAGGCTGTGCCTGTCTTAGGTGAGAAATGTCCAGAGAAATCCCTTACCTGTCATCAAGCCATGAGAAATGTAATACTCATGCTCTGTCTTAGGTTGGTTATTTCTCCACAATTCTCTTACCTCTCTTTGACTACCAGCCTCTGCAGGGGTTATACCATAGGTTGTGCAGGCTTGACCTGTAGCTTTCTCTACCTCTATCAACATTTGTAACCCTTGATCCTCATACCAGGACTCATTAATTTTTATAGGCATCATTACAAAGAGAGGTTGTCTCAAAACCATCACAGAATGAAAGGAAGTCACCATTTCTGAGAATATAAAATTGGTCAATTTACAATTAATGATATTATCAGTTTCATAAGCAATCTCTATTTCCTACTACTAACATAAGGAGCATTAATACAAGACATTCTTCTCTTCTTTTGTTCTTTGACTTGAGATAACACAGTATTTATGGTATTTCACATATTAGAGGCCCCATGTCAAAAACATTCAAACTAAGGTAGTAACTTTGACATCTGATCATAAATGTATTTCTCCCAATGAAGCAGCAAATTTTCAAATGTTGTTTTGAGAAAAAGCTGAATCTGTCCACCACTTATCTGCAGATAAACTTAAATCAGCAGAATATTCAAGTGACCAGTCTAAAAACTTTTGAAATGTCTCACTAAATAACCTTTCCTGAGGTATAGTAACATAACTTCTTTTTCATAAAATTGTAGTATTAAGGACTGTGGAGATTCACCAGTCCCATTGAAATCCTTGTTCTGGATAAAGAAGGGAAACTTTTTGCTTTTTGGAATGAAATTTCTGCTTGTGCACCGAGACACATCCTGAAGTTTTCTCTGCTGCTTCAGTGTTGGGGTCCCAATCTGGTCTCCTCAGTGGAAACCCAGCTTCAAGCTGTTCAGGGATAGTAGTAGGTCTATAAACGTATCTGTAACCATAAGTAGGTGGAGCAGAAGAGAAGGGAGAATACCTGGACCAGAAGGTTATTATCATAAAACAATATGCTGGAAAACCTGCATGGTCAAACAATATAAATACATTTTGTATACCAGAAAAGTAACAACAATAACTGTTATAATTATATGAAATCTTATGTCCTGTAATGTAGCTTTGTATCAACAGGATCTTCCTTTTTTTACAGAAAATATTATATTTTGAAGATAACCATAATAAACATGTTACAGTAACATGTTTAGAATTCAGCCTTTTGATGATAATCAATGTAAACATTTTTAACATATTTAACAAGGCATATCTTTTCATAAGGCTATGAAAATTATTTTGGTGGCTCCCATTAGTGAACAAAGATCAGAATAAATTTTCTGAGCAGCTGCTTCTTTATTTACCAACAGGAGTGTATCCAAATTTAAAGGTTTATATTTAATTATCTTTTAAGTTTTTTATTTGATCATCTAAAGCCAGGTTGTATAAATCAACAATCTATTTGTATTTGACATCATTCTGATCAAAAACATAATTGGACAAACATTTTTGAACACTTAGACAAACATATAAAACAATTTAAACGAGTGCACTCAGATGGTTTTGGCCAATTGAACTACAAAATCTTTTAGTTGCGACTAGTCAAAATTTTTGCAGGTCAAAATTAACAGAGATCTCTTATAGAATTAGGGTTAAAGGAATGAAAACTCTTCTTGACTCTAAATGTAAACCTTTTATAACAAACTTGAGACCAACAAGCAAGCATAAATAAATCATTTCCACACACCTTCTCTACATATGTAGGCCTTCTGGTCTTATATATCTTTCTTTACCTGTTTTTAACAAGATGAACATACAAAAACCTTCATGTCAAAAGTATAACTCTTACTTATAGCTTTCCTAATATTTTTCTGACTCATTTACTATTAAACTTCTATAACAAACTTCAGTTTAAAGTGTCCTTTTTCTGTTTTCAGATTGTTACATCTTAAAATTTGACTGGCTGCCAATAGAACAGTATTAACCTTGAGTTTTTAGAAAAGAGCAAGTTAACCCTATAATCACAGTTTAAGAATTTGCAATTAACAAGAAGTACTACCAAAATTAAATAGTTTTTACTAGCAGCTGACTGCCACAGAGCAGTTTGATCAACTCCTAGGCTGGGTTGTTTTGAAATCTCTTTAATTATGGGAAATCCAAGGTCAGCTTCAGTCCAATGGACCTCCTGGAAATGACTTAAAATCAAGGTGAGGGGGGTAGATGAGCTTCTTTTCATCCTGTCAGAAAATTCAAAATAAGCGAGCAAACAAACAAGGAAACAAAGGAGTCCAAATAAGATATAGGACCAAGGCTTAAGAAAACCAAACCAAAAGTAGAACCAGAGATCTCACGAGCAGTTTCCTCTAGATTTTTTTTTTTAAACCAAAAGGATGGTGTCCTGACCAAGGGGGTTTGGGAGGTCTCCCAGCCCCTGTGGCACAGAGCCCATTAGCAGATCTGCCTGGATCTCTGGGCCTCCAAAATGATCCAGATCACAAATTACCAGTTAACAATTATCAGACATTAACAGGAAGAGAAGGACACAAAAGCAAAACAAAAAGAACAAGCACTCACCGATTGGTTTGTAAAGTTTAAGTGCTCAATGCTGTAGGGGTCTTTCAGGGGCAGCTTTGATCTCTAGCAAGCATCTCATAATTAGCATTTAACCCTCTCTGTGTCCTATTTTTGTTTTTTGTTTTTTGGTTTTTTTTTTGGACATTGTTTTCCAAATTCAAACTTTCACAAAAGTAAACTGCCCTCCCCCAGGCAAGCTTTAGCTATTTGTTTTCAATCAAAAGGAGGTAAAGCATCAGTTGTCAGAGAATCAAGCATTGCTAAAGTAAAAGGGGCTGTTGGCCCATGTTGGGTGCAAGCCATTTTCATTTTTTTTTTTTATTGTTTTGACGATGAACAGGGGACAAAAGAGGTTGAGAATTGATTCTAACAGGTTTTTAACTTTTAAGGGGCCCTGAAGCTAGAGCAACCAAACAGGGCTCTCTTCTTTTGGGTCTGGGATCCAAACTATCTCTGATGAGAGTCCACAAACTAAAAGCATCCTCGGGTAATTTGCTAGGTCCGTGTGCAGCATAATAATCCTGTAATTGTTTTCCTACCTTACTCCAAGTATCTAAGTTTACAGTGCCTTCTTCAGGGAACCAAGAACAAACCATTTCAACAAATTCTAAAAAATTACACAATTGCTGGTTCCCTACTCTAGCACCACCGACACACAATAAACCTTTAAGCATATGTACAAAAAGCATGCAACTATTGCCGGCTCCCATTTTTAATATTTACAAGAAAATTCACTGCTCCTTACCTTTTTGTTGAGGTCTCCTTCTTCTCTGTGGTGTCCTTCACTGGATCCCTCGATACTCAGGTCCCTGTTCGGGCGCCACTTGTGGCAGTCCGGCCGTCACATCACAAACATGCCTGAGTTGGATAGTGAGGATTGAGAAAGGAAAGAACACTCAAGCTTGAGTGGAGACCAAGAGAAGTCTGATTTATTTCACAGAAACAGCTCCTTTTAAAGGCATATCAACAGGGAGCACCTGACTCCTACAGATAATGTCAGATCTTTAACAGGAAGCACCTGAATCCTACAGGTAACGTCAGATCTTTAACAGGAAGCACCTGACTCCTACAGAGAACGTCAGCTCTTTAACAGGAAGCACCTGACTCCTACAGATAACACCAGATATTTGGCTATCTCTTCGAGTTTCTCCCATGCAGGGTCAAAAACAAGTTTAACACGTGCAGTCCTTAAAAAGGAACAAATGTTAACAAATGCTAATTAGGAACATCCTGACCTCACATTGTGTCAAGGCCTTGATTATAAAGAAAGAAGTTATCTTTCAAATGTCAAATGCCAGTGGGCCATGACTGGCTCCTACAGGCACCCATAGGAGACCCAGGACAGGTGTCAACAGACCAGTTCTGAGAGTTACAGAAGAGCTTTACCTCCTCTTTTACCATGAGCCATGTGATCTTCCCAATCCATCCTATTCTGTATGGTTCTTGACCTTCTTCCCTGTTTTTTCTAATTTCTTATTTATTTATTTCAGTACTGGGGATTAAACTCAGAACCTTGCACTTGTGAGACAGGCATGGTGCCACTGAGCTAAATCCCCGGCCCTTTTTCTCATTTATTTTTCCCTCACTCCTCCTCATCCTAGGTTCATCTACTGCTTTCTGATTTTAATGCCATTCTAAGAATGATAACAAAAACATCTGGCCCATGTTAAAAATCTGCAGACATTTGTTAAAATCATAAACCCTTCAACATTTCTGGCCAGTCACTGTGCTCAATGTCTAGGTCAAGACTGCTATGACAAATCATCACCAAGCAAGCAGTTTGAAACAATGTAAATTGATCCTCTTACAGTTCTAGAGGCTAGAAGTCCAAAATCGGGTTCCTTGGGAGGGCTGTGAGGGGAATCTTCCATGCTTCTCTCTTAGTTTCAGGTGGCTGCGTACAGCTCTTGGCAACTGTTGGCTTATGGTGTAGAGCTCCAGTGTCTGTGTCTGCATCCTCTATGTCTCATCTCACAAGGACACTTGTTACTGGACGCTTAACTTCATCTTGGATAATTACATCTGCAAAGACCTTACTTCCAAATGAGACCACATTTGGGGGCTCCAGATGGGCCTGGTTTGGGGAGACACTGTGCAGCTGAGTACCTTTGACCAAGACCAGGTTCTTTTCAGTTGTGCTGTCCAGAGAAAGTGGGTCTGAAAGGAAGTAAAAAGAAACCCTTGTGCTTTATGAAATTGCTTCAAAGCCTCCTGGCTCATTCCTACTATTCACTTTTTATTCTGAAAGTCTGTTTAGAATGACAAATATGGGTGACATGCACACACACCTTCCTCTTTTTCCCTGGAGAGCTGAAGAAAGCCCCAGTTCAGACAGAATCTATAGACAAAGAATATGACTTTTCAAACACCCCTTCCAGGTTTCTGCCTGCTGAGGTGTGACAGACAGGTTGCACCCTGTGGCTCAAAAGGTGCTGGATAGGAAGGGGTAGGGTCTTCCACTCTAGAACATTTCACTCTCTGTGCTACACACAGCTAGACACATCACTGCCCTAAGCTGGCCTTATCTTTTGAACTCAGATGCCAAGTTCCTCCCAGAGAAAATTGTATCCAGAGAATTTTAACGTGTGACCTAAGGAAACATTAGAAGTGCATATGACATCATCTTTGAAGACATCAGAGAATCTAGGAATCAGTTACCACCAGAAACTAGAGGGGCTGCAGCAGGGGCCAAATGAGCACAGAACTAGGCCAAGAGAGGGGCAGCAGAACCCACCTTGGAAAGACAAATGTCCATGCAGGAAGGTGTCAGCCCGGCTACCTCGGGGTCTCATCCACTCCGCAGGGGCCAACACTGGTGTCAACAGCCTGTGTCAAAGGGCCACCGGGCCCTCCTCCCTTGTCCTCAGTCCCAGCAGTGTGTTCACACATCCCTAAATGGGGTTTCCTGTCTCCACAAGACTGTGCATTCATGTGTGTTCATGCGTATATGTGTGTATGTGCATGTGCATGAGAGTGTGTGCATATACGTGTGTGTATGCATGCACTGGTGAGTGTATGTGTGTGCACATTATTTTGTACTTTGCTAAGGTTTCTGTGACACTGGTCCTTTGTAAGACTCCCTGCTGGCTCCTGTCAGTTATTGTTCTGACGAGACTGTCAGTCAAGTAGCCTGGGTACAGGCGAGATTGTCAGAAGACAGTCTTGCTCAGAAGGGGATTTTCCTGGAGACTTGGTCACTTAAAGTGTTTTTGGAAACTTTTACACAGTGCAGTGAGATGCACACAGGGTCAAAGTCACTCAGACCTCTTGTTGGAGCCATCTTCATCATTCCTTTACACCGTAACCATCCTTATGCCCTATGGCAGTAAAGGTACCTACCTGCTCAGGTTATTGTGGAAACTGAGAGAGTGCATGCAGAGTCCAAGCTGAGTGACAGTCATGTAGATGCTCAATAAACGATAGCCTCAGAAGGCAGACTTTCTGCTTTGACTGTTGCACCTGTGTTCTGACAGACTCAGTCTATAACAAAGTCAGTAGCTGTTAGCTGCTCGTCGCTGTGACAAAATACCTGCTATAAACTGCATAAACTGCTATAAACTGCATAAAGGTGGGAAGGTTTTGGCTCATGGTTTCAGGAATTGGCTGCTTTCATTGCTGTAGGCCTGTGGCAAAGCAGAGTATCATGGTGGAAGGGAAAGGCAGAGGGAAGCTGCTCACCTTGAGGCAGCTGGGAAGCAGTAAAAAGGGGAAAGAGCTAGAGAGGAAGGGGACCAGATATAATCCCCAAGATCACTAGTCCCCACTTCCTGTTTCCTTTACCGCCCAATAATTGTAATACAGTACCATCAAATTATGACCTCACTGATGGATTAATCCACTGATAAGTTTTGAGTCCTGATGGCCCAATTAGCTTCCAAAATCCCATCCTCTGAAAACCTGAGATTTTGAGGAAATATTTTATATGACAACATAACAGTAGCCTTATGCACCAGCAAAGAGCCACATGGATCAGCAAACAGACTGGCTTTCCCAGACCCTAGGGGCAGCCCACTGAGAAACTGCCTTGAGCACTTTCCATCAGAGTTTCCAAATGTAGGACAGAACAGTGCCACAGTACCCAAGAAATCACAGAAAGATTAATGCTCCCCAAATTGGACATTTTTCCAGAAGAAAAAAGATGAAGTGACATTTTTCTCATTTGCTACTGAAGAAAATGCACTTCTGTGTCAATGTGTACAGTAAACTCCTCCGCACACATAGGAGTTGGTAAGCCCAGGAGGACAGAGAGTTTTCCAATCTTGTTCTTCCATGGGTCCTCACTGCCAAATACGATGCCTGGCACAAAACAGGGATATGAGGGGTAATAGTAATTGTGAGAGTGACAATGACAATAATGCTGTCATGTTTTCCATATGCCGAGCCCTGTCCTTAGCACCTACATATGGCTAAATATGACCATACTTAGTAGTCATGACAGCCTATTATGTAGGTTCTATAATCATCCAGATCTTTAGACTAGGAAATTGAGGCACAGAGAGGTTGAGTAACTTGTCCGATATCAGTTTATCTCACAAGTGGATTCTCTGCTATTGACTTTAACTCTCAGACCCCATGGAGAGGAGAAGAAATGGAGGGATACCATAGACAGAGTTAGAATTATACCTTCCGATGAGAGAGTGAAAGAGACTGAGTCAGGGGAAGAAAAAAAAGGAGAATGATAAAGAAAAACGAAAGGACTTTTTTTTTCAGACATTACCAAAGGAGTGTTTCCTTGGCTCTCTACTGGCAGCCACTAGATAGGGAGCAAAGAGTGAGGCCACCGACTGTCGGGATGCTCCTGAGATCCTGGATGGTTGGTTGGATGACTTTAGCTACTGAACATGAAAAGTATCTCAGTGATGCTGCTGATCCTGCTACGAGTCATAATTGCTCAGTGTGAAGCACCTGTCTAGGGGTCGGAGTCCACACACAGAGCTGCTCAAGTCTGTGGAATTCTCCAGGGCCCTCCACCAACACCCTCAATGGTGCCAGAGTTCTCTGCTGTCCTTGATGTTTACACAGCAAGCAGTGGATTCAAAATCTATCTCTGGTTGCTTAAGTATCCATGTCCCAATCTCCAAGACATGACATGACCATCAGAAAAGAAGAGGAAACAAGAAAACTAATATCTTCCATACCCTTGATCTTTAAATATATACATATGGCAACATCAATTAAAATGGCAAAGATGATAAGAAAGTCATTTTTCTTATGGTCTAAGTTCTAAGCCCTGGATTTCCTTCAGTTCTTGATACACTGTTTTGAAGGGAAAGTATTTTCTCCAAATTTAGATGCAGAGGCTAAAGAAAATCAAGTCCTTGGATTTGTTCCAGGGGCTAAATCGCATCATAACACAAGTATATTTTGTGTTTGCTCTTCGGAGGAAAGGTCACTGTTCTCCACACTTGCGTTTAGCGATGGCGTAACCTTGGGCCTCACACTTGTTCACACTGTATTCTCCTGTCTGTACATATGAACACTGGGTCACATGAAATATTTGTATTAGAGGCTTCAGAAGTCTAAGAAAAGACACTGAGTAAATGTGGATATATTAGTATCATCCAGTGGGGTGTCGGCTTTTCCTCTCCTGCTTCATGAGTACCGAACCGGTAATGCCATTGCTCTTTACTTCACCTCTTAGTGATAAAAAGAGCAAGGTTAAACAGAGTATTAAAATTAGAATTTCCTGTTGGAGACATTTCACGTGCTTCTTGGAGCCGGGCTATGAAGTATCTAGCACCTCCCTCCTCCCTGATGGGTACAGGAGGATGAAGCCAGCCAGAGATCCTGTGGGTGGATGGCACTTAACATGCCAGCTCTACCTACAATATCCCAGGTGAAACACATTAGAAGTGAAGACATTTAATGTTTTATTTTTCATGACCAAGAATGACAGCGTCAGTAGAAGCTGAAGAAACTGCTGGATAAATATAAGATGAACATAAATGGGAAAATCAGCTTCTGGGCTATAAAGAAAATGGAGAAAGTCTCGTAAGCACAACAGATTGTTTGGAAAACTAAAATAAAGATACATCTGTGTTTCCCAGGTTTCACAAAGCCCTATAACCAATTTACAAATCCAATGCTGTACAAACTTTTCGTAATGGAATTCAAACTTTGGCTTTCTCAGACTCATGGACAGAGAGGTGCACATACTTTCCTTTGTTCCTTAATGCTCTCGGCTGTTATGGTGTTGGAAAAGCTGACAGTAGCTTAGAAAAGGCCATAATCCACATGTAGGGAGGCATTCTCCAGGCAGCAGAACATGACCAAATGAACCAGTACTCCAAAAACACATTTGCACTATGGTTTAGTGCTCACCTGATTGTTCAACTTCACTTTCTGCACATAAAGAGTTACACTGCTGCATTTAAATTAGGTCAGATTCAGCCATCTTAAGAGACCTTCCATGTGACATTGAATAATATTACAAGATTATTGTCTGTGTGTTTAATTTTTTAACCTTGGCCTCTGACATCAATGTGGATTAAACCCAATTTACTAAAGACCCCAATAAAAATCCAAAAGTTCTCTGAGTGATAATAATCCTAAACAATGTTGACATTTGTCTGAATAAGATTAGCCATAAATTCTATATTTGAAAGAACATTTAGCCAATGATGTCATTTGCGCATTTTTCAAATGGTATAAAGATATTTTTCTCAATATATTTCAGGGTGTTTTTTAACACATGCAGGACAGAGAAAGTTGTCATCCCAAAATAGGTCCCTACTGTTTCATAAATACCACAGAAAGTATTAACAACTTGTCAAAAAGAAGTTAATGAAAATTTGGGAATTATTTTATTACTGTCCTTGAGTTTGACAGCACTTTCACAGTGAAAATGAGTCTGAAGGAAAATGAGCAGTTCTTTAACCATTATTTTTACTTTCCTTCATTTATAATCTTTGTCTTTAAATGTATTGTTTCATAACATTCATAGATGGAAGAATGGATAAAGGGGACAGAAGATGCTCTGCCTTTGAAAGTCTGGGAGCTTAGACACACAGGCCAGAGATTCCATACTCTAAGTATACAGGAAAAGATCCAAAACTCTACCAAAAGAAACTAATATAACCTGATGTTTCTCATATTAACATGCACCCCACAACCAGGCTGCACATTAGAACCATTTGGAGAATTTTTACAGTGATTATGCTTAGCCCTTCATAAAATAATATATTCTTATTGGTGAGATGGTCAGTAGTGTTCATTTGTGGCAAACATACAATCAGTGCACTAGAAGTTGACATTCTGCATGGGATACGTAAATACAGCATGAGGAAGTGATATCTTTTGGACATTATACCAAGCATTCTGTGGGCTGCTTCATGTATGTTTTATCTTAAATTCCTATAAAGAAGAGAATTTATTGATATTGTTATAATAGTTAAATATTATATGAAGATGTACTAAAGATATACATATATTAATTATATTTTATATAACTATACCAAGATATCCAGTATTTGTCTAATATGGCAGTCAAGGAGTGGCCTGGTGTTTGTAATGGATCTTTGACTATGTTTACCTCAGCTATAAAATGGAGTGAACCATGAATGCCAGGACGGGTCAGGCCTGGTGGTACATCCCTATAATCCCAGCACTCTAGGAGGCAGAGACAGAAGGATTGTAGGTTCGAGTCCAGCCTGGGCAACTAATCAACTTAGGGAGATTCTATCCCAAGGTAAAAAATTATAAAGGCCTTAGATTGTGGATCATTGTAAAAGCCCTGGGTTCCGTCCCTAGTACCACCCCTCAAAAAAGAGTCAATGAAGTGTCTCTTGAAGCTGTCACACACTTAAGACCTGGTTTAGATGATCAGGTCCTGGCCCCCGCTCTGAGTCTGCTCACAGCTCCTGCCATTGAGAAGCAGCTGCCCATGGATGCTTTCAGCACTATAAGGCCATATGAAATTAGCAGAAGTATCTGCGTTCACATGCACACCACCTTGTCCCCTTCAGGAACAGTCACTAGGAAGTTCAGGCTCTCCTACATTGCTTCAGCTGTTCATCATTGTTTACACAGCTTTTTCAAAGTTGTTCAAAGTTTGACTGTTTCATGATGTACCCTGCTATGTCCTGATGTGATTTTAAGGGAAACTGTCCAGAGATGAAGGCTAGAACTAGAGATTTAACATGCAACAACAACCAATATAAAAGCCATAAGGTCTTTCAGGGTGATACACAATAATCTAACTTACAATCCATAAAAATATAAATCAGAATGTTAGTTTATTAATTGATAATAACAGCAAAATATTGAAATGTTTTGTCTATTTCTATTCATTGCATTTCAGCCTACAGGTACAGAGAGTCCCACTATGATCTGGTGGTGGCTGAGCTGTCAAACCAAAGTTTCTATCTCTAGTTGATGAAAACCATCCCATAAAATTTACAAGGAGACAGTAGTTCTCCCAATTTCAATAGGAAGGATGAACATGAACAAGAGACCTTCATCTACTACCTTCTCAAATTGTATGGAATGTGCAACATTTGGTTGCTTTGCGATTCCAAAGAGAAGATTATTTTTCTTTGTACCAACCAATCAGCTCTTATATTATGCTATTTTTCTGAAAAGTAAATACTGATTTTTAAAGCAGCATACCCTGACAATGCTAAATATACATGTGCTCATACTGTGACTTTGGATCTTTTTATCCTAAATGGCACAAAGTAATAAATGATTAAGTTCACGAAGAAGTTAGGTATAGACATACCACTAAATTGTCTGATTCTTAAATTCAACAACATTGGAATATTTGCTGATAACAAATTATTAAAGGTGTCTTATTTAAGAAAATATCAGCTCTGGTGGGCCTACCCCTTCAGTGCCAAGCAGCAGAGGAGCATAAACACAGTAGTGTCCGTGCCCCCCACCACTATGAACAAGAGAAAGAGGGCCTCTCTGAGGCTTCTAAATGAGAATTGCAGCCCACTGGAAAAGTGAAGAAAATCTCTGGGATAAAAGCACACCACACCACCATAGTTGCTAAGTCGGAGGGACCAGCACCTCAGAACCTTGTCCAACTTCAGGGGAAGGACAGCTGCAACCTGTAGTACAACCTCTCAGAGTTCAATCCAGCAGGAGCACAAAGATCTCAACCCCTTGTCCCTGCCCTCCCTTCACCCCCTCCTCCCCTCCCCATCTACAAGCACTTTATTGCCATCTTTTCTTTATCTCACATTTTTTCTTTTCCCTTATTACCCTTTCCCTACCCATCCCACCTTCCCTACAACTTAAGCCTCTTTCCTCCCATTTCACAGTGTCAGTAATCTTATCAGGATCTTATGTATTATGGCAGTTTATTCACACCAGAGAAACTATTCAGTATTTACACATATGTGATTTATTTATTTCACTTAGGAGTATATCTTCAATACGTATCCATTTTCCTATGAATGAATCTATTTTCTCATTCTTTATGGCTGAGTAATATTCCTTTTTATAGAAAAGCTACATCTTCTATTTTTTTAGCTTTAATTGAGTTTACTGGTACATTTTAGGGATACAGTACAGTTACATTCATTGTTGGGATCTTGTACCTCTACATGAAAAAAAACATATCTTCTTTATCCAGTTTCCAACTGGTGGGAAAATGGGCTATTTCCAAGTTTTACCTATTACAAACTGTGCTGCTATAAATATGGGTGCGCATACATCACTGTGATATGATTCTTTTAGTTCCTTTGGAAAGATACCCAGCAGAGGGATGGCTGGGTCAAATGGAACCTCTAGTGCTAGCTCTTTGAGGTATCTCCATATTGATTTCCACAGTGGTTGCACCAGTCTGCA